CAGTTGAAAAATCTTTTTAACTGTTCAAAATAGTTTTATTGAGTCAGTTACAAAAAGTGTGTCAAACATTTATCAAATGTTTATTTTGATATTATAAAATATTTTTGGTAAGCAAAAATATTTTATTCAAATATTTTTCGTGTACATCGTTTGACACACAAAATAATTTTTGGACTCACTTTTACTCCCTTATTCAAATTCATTGAATAAGAGGAGGAGCGTTCTCTGATTCCCGTTGTCTCAAACAACGAGTGTTACGCCAATTTGCTCTCCATCGCAACTGGCTTGGGCCCTTTGTGTTTTGCCCATTATTTCTTTTGGTAATCGATTATATTTCTCTGTTTAATCGATTAACTGTCGTTTGCATTACATTAATCGATTATTCCTCATGATTTTAATCGATTAGTCCTCTCAGAGCCTTCTAATCGATTAATCCCTTTGCATTAATCGATTATTTACACGTTGAAGGAACTCTGCGCAGACTGCATTAATCGATTGTTGACACTGCATTAATCGATTATTATGCTGCATTTTTTTCATCCCAGCTTCTTTTCTTGGACCAACGGATATATTCCTTCAACCCCTATTTAAACACTCTTCCTTGGTCATTTTTCTAATGAACAAGCACTCCTAAAATCCCCCAATCTTGAGGTTATAATCCTCCATTCATTTCTTCCTCAAATTGATATATTTTGAGAGAAAACTAAGTGTTTTCAAGAGAGTGTTCTTGTCATTCATAGAGCTTAATCTTTTCTCATTTCTACTCTTGTGAGAGTTATTGCTGAGAGGTTGAAGAAGATTGTTCTTCTTGTTGTTCAAGGCTTATGTGACTTACGTCTTGGTTGTGAAGTCTTGTAGAGGGCATATCTACGAGCGGTTGTGTCGAGGCTTGTGGGATTCAAGTTCTCGAGTTGTAAACGGTTTGTTAAGCACCCGTAAGCTTAACGAAAGTAGTGGTAGCTTCGAGAGAGTCTCTCGGGGAACTGGACTAGCCACGAGGTGGTGAACCAGTATACATCGGTGTGTTCTTTCCCTTCTCTATTTTATTTTTGCTGCACTTACGTTTATATTATTAATCCTGCGAAAATCGGTAAACATTCTCAACAACTCTATTCACCCCCCCTCTAGAGTTGCACGCCTTGTCTAACATATACATTATTATTATTAATTATATTTGACATACTTAATTATCATATAATTAAAATTTCCAAATATAAACATTTATTTCTTTGTGTATCTAATCATATTATCACACAATATAATATACTCCCTCCGTCCCCCAGTTTTTGTCCACTTTTGACTCTTGGAACTGTTCATCTAAGCACTTTGACTCATCAAATTCTCTCAATGTGTAAACCTAAATATAGTCATGTGTGATCTTGTTTAATTTGTCTTAACATATAGATTATTAATATATAATTTCTATAACTTTTTAATATACAAATTACAAGATAAAATGGATTAAAGAAGTGCATTGCATGGTGTGTAAAAATGAAAGTGGACAAATACTCTGGGACGGAGGGAGTACACAATATATAAGACGCAACTTTACTCGACATCAATATTCTACGCTTTTCATACATTCTATGTGTGTGACCCTATTCTAGGTACCTATAAAATTGGTCATAGTATTTATTAGATACTATAAGTGATAAGCGGTATCTAATAATACATTATCACCCCCAATCTATAGATATAAAGCTCTTGGAACAATTCTTTCAACGACACATCTTATTTGTATAATTAACTCTTATCCCTTTATCACTAATATCTTGATTTAACACAAGGGTATGGGGTGTGTCACCTAGTTAGAGTTAAATCGATGGTTTACTGGTTCTTTGATTGACTTGTTGGATTCAAATAGCATATTTATTTGGGCATGGCCATGCACTTCCCAAGTCACATCTATTAGTGGGCCCTAAGATATTGTACTTCATTTAAAGAGGGATAAATTCAATCTACATCATTCACATCTTTACTTAAGTTCCATTGCATACCCAAAATATAATTGTACATCAACCAATATTTTAGATGGCATAAATCATGCTTCAAAGTATGCAACTCAACTTGTCAAAGACCGTAATGACTTCAAGTCGAAGGATAGTTATACTAATGGTCGCATGAGACTAAGATTAACACTTTAACTTAAACCCATATATTATTCTCATAGCGGGTCAATCTAGCAACATATCGAATATGTTTGCCTACGTATAGATTCAGATAACACTTTATCTAGAGCCTATGAGATGCATCTATCTCATCTAATACGTATTAGTCTTGATATATTATGATGTCTGTAATATCATAATATTAGACTAATGATATTTTAGACGTAGCCTCTATCTTTGTAACAGCCTCATAATCAGAACGTCATAGTTCTCATCTATGTTACTAGAGCACCTATTCTATGGACTAAAGCTATGTTTAAATCACACGAGACGAATTAAACAATCTTTAGGGCCTATTATTCTTGATATAATATAGATATGGAATCATAAGTAGTTGGCCTCTAAGGCTCACTTATATTCAACATTTAAGAAATCACCCAAAATAAAAGTAAAATATAGAAAATAATAATAAAATAGAAGCTTCGTGTTTTTATCTTCAAAATAGAAGTTTTCATTGTGGTAATATGGCACTGTATATAAATATTTTGCAATACTTTTTAGGAATATATATGGTCATGATTGGCACTATTTATGCATTTTAACTCCTATTTTAAAACTAAGAACATAAAACTCCTATTTTAGTATTTTTCTATGTTTTACTCTTACTTTTAGTCTTTTTCACTAAGCTTTTTTCAATTTTTTCTATTTCGATTTTCTTTTAACTTTTAAATTTTTTTTGTAAACAACTCCTTCCATTTTTCCACTTCTTTAAATTTTTTCCAACAATGAATCAAAAAAATTATTTAGCTGTATTAAGGAGTATCATTAAAGGAGTATCATTTTTTGGTTGATACTCCCAGAAGTCACTCTCTTTGATGTACCTAGAATGCACTCATTTAATCCATTTTTGAGTGTAATATCCCAGTTTAGCTTCATGATACAAGCCTGATTCCACTTAAGGATGTTCTTAATCCCCAAACCCCCTTTGTTGATATGTAGACAAACCTCATTCCAACAGATAGGTGGGGCTTTCTTGTATTCAGTGGTACCCTCCCAAAGGAAATTCCTACAGATGTTTTGGATTTTGTGAATAACTTCTTTGGGGAGTAGGAAGATCCTAGCCCAGAAATTCATTATGCCAAATAGAACAGAGTTGATTAGTTTTACTCTCCCAGCATAAGAAATGTGTCTGCTCCCTTAAGCTGTGATTTTTAGAGGTGATCTTCTCAATAAGGGTGCAACAGTTACTTTTAGAGAGTCTTCCTGAAGTAATAGGGACCCCCAAGTATGAGAAAGGTAGAGTACCAAGGTTCATACATGTGGTTTCCAGTAATAGGTCTTGGGTTGCCTCTGTGATACCACTAAAGGTTATGTGGGACTTTTGCGGGTTGATTTGGAGACCCGTGACTTTCTTGAAGTGGTCTAAAGTCGTCATAACAGTGTTGATAGAGTCCAAAATGACTATAAGGTCATCGGCAAAATTGAAGTTAATAATTTTCATGTCTGCACACATAGGGTGAAACTTACATTTCTCTCTTTCAGCAAAGAATTGGAATGCTCTAGTAAGATATTCCATGATGATGACAAAGAGAAGGGGCGAAATGGGATCCCCCTGTCTAAGTCATTTTTCCCCCTTGAAAAATCCATGAAGGCTCCCATTAATCTTTGATTACCGTGATTTGAATGACTACTAATGAGTACATATACCATACATCCGGATGTACAATGTTCTCATACATCCGTATAATTCACATTGTCATGTAATTGAGTACTCATTTTCGAGTAAGAGAAAACTCAGTTTCGAATAACAGAATACTTATTTTTGAGCATCTGAATTGTAGAGAAATGAATATTCAGTTACTTGAGAATGAGTATTCACTGACTTGAAAATGAGCATTCAGTTACTGATAAAGGAACACTCACTGTAGATATACGGGAAACATTGTACAACCGATTGTACGATATATATTGGGACTACAAATAGATTTTAAATTGAATGACTAAACCAGGAATAATATGTTAACATGAAAGACTAATGAATTTAGCCTACTACTACCTCTTTCCTAGAGTACTTGTTTAGTTTTGACTTTTTTCAATCAACTGTTTTCAAGTTTTATGCTATAATTAAATAAAATATGTATTGTATATGAATTATATGAAATAATATTTAGAAAATATATTATATAATAAATCTAATAAAATTATTTTTGTATCAATATCTAATATAATTTTTATTTAATTTGGAGTCAAAGTTTATCCATTTTGATTGAAAAAGTTAAAAATGGATAAATACTTTTAAGAGGTAAAGAATATTTGAGATATAATCCTTGCTGCAGCTTTATTCTTTGTTAAAACTTAAAAGTTAAAACCTTGAGCTCTGTTCGGAGATTCTCTCCTTCACCCGCGCACCTCTGGCAAGGGTGTGGGGCTCCCGGCGTGGGCCTTCATCCTTTTCTCCAAGTTTCCGTTCCCTCCGTTAATTTTCTCGGTCAGTACTTACGTATTCGCGATCAACGGCGAGAGGACTTTTGATTAATCTACAATTTTCTTCATTAAATTTTCAAAATAATCAGGCCTGACCATAATTAATCGCTCAATATACATATATGTGTATATATATATACTCCCAGTTTGAATGTAACTCCCAATTTGAATGTTTGGTAGAATATGTATTGGAACTTGTCTGTGCAGTGGATATCACGTCATTTTTTACAAAATTTCGGCTGTGAAACTTGAAGTATAATCTGGAAGAAATTGGGGAAAGGTAATGCATCTTATTTCGTCTTCAAGGAAAGGATGCTTAAATATGCCATATATGTTAATGCAGATTTTCTGAAAAAGTTTTCCGGCGAATGAATCTGTGTGTGTAGCAAGCATGGAAGCTGAGAAGGTTTTGATGGAATACTACATTCCCGATCACATACTATTATCTGAAATAGAAGCAACAGCGTCTCATGAACAAGCACCGCCTCCTTGCCCCGTCATAGTGTTTATTAATTCCAGAAGTGGTGGCCAGCTTGGGGGTGAACTTCTTTTGACCTATCGTAGGCTTCTAAACAAACATCAGGTCCGTTTATTTCCATAACATTGTTTTCTTTTTGTCACCTCTTTGTTGTTAAATGTGTGGAAAGTTATACATGGAGTATAAATGGGGTAATGATAGATTCCTACAAGTTATTCTTCAGGTATATGATTTGGGGGAAAGAGCTCCCGACAAGGTGCTACACCAGCTTTATTCTAACTTGGAGAAGCATAAGCGAAATGGAGATAAAATGTGTTTCGAAATCGAGAAGAGATTGAGAATCATTGTGAGTCCATTGATTGGATTACTCGCTTGGTGCAATGGTGCTGTGTATGATGATGTGTGCTTTGCTTTGTGTATCTTAACATAGACTTAATTGGTAACATATAGGTTGCAGGGGGTGATGGAACAGCTGGCTGGCTTCTAGGAGTGGTTTCGGATCTTAAACTAGCATGCCCACCACCAATTGTAACAGTGCCTTTAGGAACAGGAAATAATCTCTCTTTTGCATTTGGCTGGGTAAGATGGAATCCGAAGCATTCATGCCACACTTCTTGCGTTTGGATGTGTTTGCAGCTTTTATGGAGTAGCCAATCATCTTTGAAAAATCATATCTCATGTTCATATCTTAATTCACAGGGGAAAAAGAACCCCGGTACGGACTGCAGCTCAGTCAAGGACTTCTTGGCTCAAGTAAGGAATGCGAAAGAGATGAAAGTTGACAGGTAAAATGTTTTTTTTTGAGTACCACAGGGAAGATGACAGGAAAACATTCTGCTTCAACTGCAGTAAAATTCAGCCTTGCTAGAATTATACTCCATATATGAGTATCATTTAGTGACTTTAATTGTGGTTTCCATTGTTGGAATTACATGACTCTCCACTTGTTTCAGTTGGCATATTTTTATGCGAATGAGGGCTCCCAATGAAGGTTCTTGTGATCCCATCCCACTTCTTGAGCTACCACCTTCATTGCATTCCTTTAAGCGTGTCTCTCAAACAGATACATTAAATGAGGTACCGGCTTTGTGTTCTCTTAGAGCTTCCTTGTGCTCCATAAGTTTTGTTTCACCAACTTTAAATAATTCTAGCTATGTATGCACAACGTAATGTTTGAGCTCTCATTCTCAAAAATATTTCTTATTAGGATCTTTTCCATTTAGTATTAAAGAGATAAATGAAAAAAATGTTTATAGATGGGTTCGAATTAAGAAACGGATACTAGTCTCACTGTTATATGTATGAGCATCCCTTTCACCATGATATTCTTAGATTTGCTTTATGATTCTCTATCATTGCACATTCTACCTTTTTTTATTATTAGGATGGCTACCACACATTTCGAGGAGCATTCTGGAACTACTTCAGCATGGGTAAGTTTGTACTAATTTATTTTTATGGAACATCAAACACGCGTATTGTCTTTAGTGATCAATAGTGCAATACGGAAACAATTTATTTGTATGTTAGGTAATATTACATTGTTTATTCAATTTTGACCCTCAAATTTCATCAGTAGTACCCGAAGACAGAGTAGTGCCCATTTGCAGTATTTTAGTCATTGAGTGAACCATTTCGTCTGTTTTCTTAGGCATCGTTTATAGTCCAACTTTGAACAATACATTCAAACCCTCAATTCACGCACATGGACCAATTTTTCTGTGCTAAACTGTTTGGAATGTCTATGCTGCCTAATTGAATGGAGCCCTTTACATGTTCCTTGAATGGAGAGCATGGACGCTCATCACCATGCATGAAAATATCATTGTACATTGAAACCAATAAAATTTTGTGTGTAAGATAGCCGGTATCAAGTTTCGGTTGACAGAAATGTTTCATAATCTTGTACTCACCATCAACCTGAAGCTGACAAGCAAATTTACTAGCCTTTTTATGGTCTCACTTGCATGAGATATTATTAGCATCTTTTATCATTTAATCATGTGATTCCTTGAATTTCATGTTTTTTTATTCTGCAGGGATGGATGCACAAGTTTCTTATGCATTTCACAGCGAGAGGAAACTACGTCCTGAAAAATTTAAAAACCAATTAGTTAATCAGGTTAATATTGTCAAAATTGTTTTATGTCATGCTTGTGCTGCTGCGCAATTGAGTTTTGAGATATCTTGTATTTGTAATAATTTTATTTCCTATATTTCTATTAGACTACCTATGCAAAGCTTGGTTGTACTCAAGGATGGTTTTGGGCTTCTCTTACACATCCATCCTCAAAGTTAGTCTCTCAATGACTATATATGATCAAAAATCTTTTTTTTATCACACAAGAATTCTCTTGGTTGTTAATGTTTACAAATGACCTTCGCCTTGAAATCGGCAGGAATATTGCACAGCTAACTAAGGTTAAAATCCTGAAAAAGACAGGTGATTGGATAGACCTCGACATACCTAGAAGGTAATTTAGAGATTGTAACCGTATTGATTTTTGGCTCAAGTAAATAGTGAGGTTCAACTTAATATGCTATGAGTTTTACTGAACTACATGCATCAATGGTACTCCATACAATTTGGGGAAAGAGAGTGAAATGTTGGCAGCTGGTTTTGTACTAATGATAGATGGCAAAAATCAATGTGCAGCATCAGGTCCATTGTGTGCCTCAACCTCCCCAGCTTTTCTGGTGGACTCAATCCTTGGGGAAGTCCCAATAAGAAAAAGCTCCACGAGGTAAACTTACTTTATTATTCTTATTATTGTTATTGTTGTTGTTCTTATTACTGGGTTTGTTATTGTGACTATGCATAAAATGTGCAATGGCTCTATGAGGATATTGTTGGGATTTTAAGCGCGTAAGATACCGAAAAATATTGAGAGCACCAGAAAAATGAGAGATTACACACAAGAAGAATATATGAGAGAAAAAAATTATATTTTCACTTTTTCAGAACAATATACAAAAAACTCTCCCCTGTTTACAAGGCTAAATTCGAGACACTCATAAACAGATATTTCCACATCCTATCCCCGGATGTATTTTTCCGAGTAACTAAAACTAGTTACTCCCTACATTTACCCACGCTCACCAAGACCCCTTGGATTTTCCCGGTGGTATTCTTGTGTAGAATTCCTCTCATGTTTCTCTCTCTACCTTGGTGGTGTGTAAAACCCACACTCACATGTCTACCTTAGTCTCACTCCTTTTAAAGCAACCCAAAGCCTTTCAAAACTTGGACTCACCCGTAGATGCATATGTAATTGCCTAGAAGGTGCAATCCATTTGTTGATTTGCACCAATCCAAAAAGATAGAAACAAAGACCAAAAAAACTCTTCACATGCATGTTGTACGTCCAAGTGCATCTCAATTTTCTTTTTCTTTTTTTTATTTCTTTTTCTTATTTTTCTTTCTTTTGAATATTTAATCAAATTTCCAACAAACTCCACCTTGATTGAATAATAAAAAAAACTTTGTAGCTCCACCTCACTTTTCCGGTAAGATCACCGTTACTCCGAAATAAAAAAAAAATATCCTTGGCTCCATCTCAGTCTGCTCCACCGAGATCACCGCTTCCAATCTCAAAGAAGAAAAGAAATACCTCATGGCTCCACCTTGCTCAATACCACAAGAGCCCCCGCCACTTCCAGTTTCCGTTGAAACCGTGACTCCACCACAACCGATTTCGTCAAGATTCCTGCCACTACCTTAGCTCTCTAGAGTTTTAACCCTCCACCCCGAGCTAAAAAAATGACAACTCACCTCTGTTAATACTCTCTGAGACCATCCGTCTAGCAATTAGCTTCTTTCGATCTGCCCATCTCGCACCGCCGCAGCAACACCTGCGGGACACGCCGCCCTACCTCTTCCTGTCGGGAAGACTTTCGACACAAGACATAAACCGCAGTTTTCCACTCTGCTAGGCCACCGATCTCCTCAAGTCCTGTTCCCGCACCATACTTCACAAAGACAGCATGCCGCTTCGTACCCGGTCCCCATGCCATCCACTTTGTTCGTGAAGTCCCATGGTCGCCTTCTGGCCAAAACCGACCAGTCCCTGGGTTCTCAAAATTTCTCCTTTTACCGCTTACAAATCCCTTCTGCCGAGCGCAACCAAGCTCTGATACCAATTGTTGGGATTTTAAGCGCGTAAGATACCGAAAAATATTGAGAGCACCAGAAAAATGAGAGATTAAACACAAGAAGAATATATGAGAGAAAAAAATTATATTTCCACTTTTTCAGGACAATATACAAAAAACTCTCCCCTGTTTACAAGGCTAAATTCCAGACACTCATAAACAGATATTTCCACATCCTATCCCCGGATGTATTTTTCCGAGTAACTAAAACTAGTTACTCCCAACACTCACCCACGCTCACCAAGACCCCTTGGATTTTTCCGGTGGTATTCTTGTGTAGAATTCCTCTCATGTTTCTCTCTCTACCTTGGTGGTGTGTAAAACCCACACTCATATGTCTACCTTAGTCTCACTCTTTTTAAAGCAACCCAAAGCCTTTCAAAACTCGGACTCGCCCGTAGATGCATATGTAATTGCCTAGAAGGTGCAATCCATTTGTTGATTTGCACCAATCCAAAGAGATAGAAACAAAGACCAAAAACAACTCTTCACATGCATGTTGTACGTCCAAGTGCATGTCACTTTTCTTTTTCTTTTTTTTATTTCTTTTTCTTATTTTTCTTTCTTTTGAATATTTAATCAAATTCCCAACAGATATGATTCGACACACATTCTCAATTGACACTAATTAATGTGAATAAACCCGTGCGGTGTGTGGTAAAAGCAGAGAGACTTGACACGGCCGTATGTTGATGATGGGCTGATTGAGGTCGTTGGATTTCGGGACGCTTGGCATGGCCTCGTTTTGCTTGCTCCAAATGGGCACGAAAGGCGCCTTGCACAGGTTTTTATCTAACTACTTAATAGAGGTCACCAATAAATGCAAAGTGTACGTGTTTTAGGTTATCTACTAAACTGCATCGTCCTGCAGGCACACGGAATTCGGTTTGAGTTCCATAAAGGGGCAGCTGACCACACATTCATGAGGATTGACGGAGAACCATGGAAACAACCCCTTCCTTTGGATGGTGACACTGTTGTTGTGGAGATTTCTCATTTTGGACAAGTGACCATGCTCGCTGCTCCCAACGGCTGCAGGTCTACGAGTGTTCTTTTTTAAAGAGGACATGTCCTTTTTATTGAGCAACTAGAAACCTTACATTAATTCAAGGAGGTTGTAGCATCATATTTTACCAATATAATGATCCCGTTTGAGAACTGATCATGAAAAGAATTAGAAATATAGTCTTTAGCCTATGTTTGGTTGGATGGGTAGAAAAAGAGAGGAATTGGAAAGAAAAGTAATGGAGAGAAAAAACAATTTTTGGGAGCATTTTCTCTTGTTCAGATAAAGGGGAAAAAATGGTGGGGCTCAGACTAAAACCTTTCTTCCCGCCTTTGTGAAGAAAAGGTGAGGTAGAGGGAGGAACCAATAAGGGAGCTTCATCCATGTTTTTTTTTCTTCTCCTTTTCCACATTTTCTCTTTATTAATTTCTACCCATCCAAAGACCAATTACTTTCTTTTCATTTTCTCTTTATTTTCTTTTTCTCTCATTTTTTTCTTTCTATTTTCCTCCCTCTTCCAAACAAATCATTAAAAGAAAAGCTAGCTAAATAGGCATTCTACCCAAATCGCTGATCTTCGTATCTGCTTTGCTCCTCTGAGCAGTTATAGCTTATTTTGAATTTTTATATGCCAAAGTATAGTCCAACCCCGATGGTCCTTGGGTTGGGGGAATCGTCTTATATTCGAGACTGGACTGGCCTAAAAATCCGGCTATAGTTTATTGTGTTGGATCTTGTTTTAGCCCTCTGGGTATATTGGGCCAATACTCCAACATTTTATTAACTTCATTACAAATAAAAAATCATTTGACCGTATGGTGCCCAACAAATAAAAAATTTGCATTTTTTGTTCAATTTTTTAAAATTTTATTAACCTTTTTTTTTGCAACATTTCATTTGTACATTGTACCCAAAAAAATTGCAAAAGCTAACCTTTGACCATGTAGAAAAACAAAATTGCACCTTTGGTCCATCAACTCAATGTGTAACGCACGGTTAATCCTTTAACTCTAAAAAATCAAAAATAGACCTTCAACTCACGGACAATTTTTTTGAAAATAGTTTAAAAGAGAGGGAGGAGACTAAACTTTTTCAATAATGGAGAACGAATATTTTCTTTGGACGGATGAAAAGCCTTTTTGCAGAACGCAGATAAAAGGTTGTATCGAAAATATATTTTTTCAGTTCTTTAATACGAGTAATATTTTAGTCAAAATGTTCTAGAATCTTTAAAAAAATCGTCTAATCCCATGCCTGGTACAGGTTAAATGATACTCTCTCTCTCTCCACAAATAAATTACCTAAACATTATCCATACGGTCAAACTGTATTACAGAATACTTTATTTATTTTTATTGCTCATCTCATACTTTGTAATATAAAATACTCATGTGATCTCTTATTTCTAAAAATGTTTTATGTAGCTTGTAAATATATAAATTTTATATTTTAAATTTTACACCTATAATTATATAAAATGAATTAAAAAGAGGACTTAAATTAAAAAGATACTTTACACTTCCGGAAGAGGACTTAAATTAAAAAGATACTTTGCACTTCAGTGTGAGTAGAAGAGACACACCTCCTAGGAAGGCATGATATTGTTGCAAACAATTGATCCCGGTACTTTCAATTTTATGACCAGAATACTCAGAGTCATAGGTCCCAGTCTTTTACAAAATATGTACTTTTGTAGTATCTGTTATAAAATGAGAGAAAAACTAATCAGAGATTATGAGAATAGATATAATATATTTCTGATTTCTTCTCTCTATTAATTCTTCACTCTTCTTCTTATTCTTAATGGTGATTACAATGCAGGGATTGGGCCTCTATTTAAAGTGGAGAGCCTTGGTATGGATACAAATACAAGTGGGAAGTACTGTACATAATTGATACTCATCAATGAGTGTCTTAATCTACTATTCTAGAAATTAGTCCTGATTAATTGAATAAATGAACAATCATTAATTTCATAACACTCCCCCTTGAATGTTCATTTTTCAATTAATGATGAGTACTTCGTGAAATGGACATAATTTAGTAACCCATTCTAATTTTATGTACTGCCTCGTTAAAAACCTTGTCAGGAAAAACCTAGTGGGATAAAACCCTCAGCTTAGCATAATTGACGGAGGCGACGCATGCCAATCTTGTGTACGAGTTCTTCAAATTTCTTCGGGGGTAACGCTTTTGTAAATAAATCAGCGAGATTCTCACTGGACTTGATTTGCTTGATGTCAACTTTTCCATCTTTCTCGAGATCATGTGTTGAGAAGAACTTTGGTGATATATGCTTTGTTCGATCTCCTTTGATGTAATCTCCTTTCACTTGAGCAATGCATGCAGTATTGTCTTCATATATAGGAGTCGGATAACTAGTAATTGTTTCTATACCGCACCCACTCTGGATATGTTGGATCATTGATCGCAACCATACACATTCTCTACCTGTTTCGTAGAGAGCTATCAACTCCGCGTGATTTGATGATGTGGCAGTCAAAGTTTGTTTCATCGATCTCCATGATATTGCGGTATCTCCATAAGTAAACACATATCCTATTTGAGATTTTGCTTTTTGCGGATCAGACAAATATCCTGCATCAGCGTATCCAACAAGAGTGGCCTTGGCATCTTTGCGGTAGAATAAACCAAGGTCGATGGTACCATTGAGATATCGAAAAATGTGTTTAATGCCATTCCAATGCCTCCTAGTCGGGGTCGAGCTGTGTCTGGCTAACAAGTTCACTGAGAATGCAATATCTGGCCGAGTGTTGTTTGCTAGATACATCAAAGCTCCAATAGCACTCA